CAGAGATTTTGTTGTAAACGTCGAGGCGTTCGACGGTGTAATTCCTCGAAGTAGTAAAATCCTCTGCAACTCCGTGGACATAGGCAAATTTGTCGAACCACGTAAATCTGTGTCGCTCTGGTGTTTTTTTTCTGTGCACAATTTTTCTTGTTCCATTTTTCATTTTATTGCCGTCGTTTTTTCACAACTCCTCATCAGGACGAGCAAGTTGTTACTGTTACTTAGGCACATGGGGCTCATGAAATGCTACAGTCTACACCTTTCCGACCACCTTCGGACGAATCCACTGATCAGATGAGTCAATCATCGGATGAGAAATGACAAATTTATACATCTAGGAAGAAAAAGAAGAATGGAGGTTTATTACCAAACTTGATGGATGATACATTAGTTGTTTCGGGTAATAACTTAACAATTTGTTAGTTGGCTCCCATCCTAGAACTAAAGGCAGAGGCAAGGCTATATTGGATCTTTCGCATGCTAACTGATTCTGCAAGTGTTGGCAGACTATTGACGTACTTTTTTCTGTCTACTTTTTAATCTTTTTTTGGGTATACATGTATTTCTGTGTTGTATGTCGGGTGGTTAGGGTGTCAATTTGGGAAGAAAAACCCAAGAGCTGATTTTTTTGAAATAGAAAAGATACATAAAGATTAGTCATCCAAATTATCTGTACCTTTCCTTTTATTAATATATTCACCTTTGGGCTTTCAATATATATATATATATATATATAGAAGAAAAACCCAAGAGCTGATTTTTTTGAAATAGAAAAGATACATAAAGATTGTATGAGAGAGCCCAATAGAGGCACCCTACCCATATGATACTAAGTACAGTAATACCCCAACAAAAAGATACAGATAGACTCAAGAAAATAAAAACATGCAGAAAACAAAAGCTAGGGGTGACTCAGTTTAGTCCTGCCTCTTCCTCTAGTTTTAGGAGCGGAGTCAGATAAAAAACTTTGAAGTGTTGTGTCATTGCCAGGAGTAACCAAGGTATCATCCATTAAACTTTCAAGTTGGAGTGTTTCCCCAGCTTTTTTCTTCCGTCGAGAAGTGTAAACCTGTCATTCTTCATCAAAAGACTGGCTTGTGTGATCATCGGCAGATTTAGAACCGCAGTAGAAGGAAAGACAGTCGTTGCCACAGCGATAGACGTCGAGAAATGTAAACCTGTCATTCTTCATCAAAAGACTGGCTTATGTGATTGTCCAGAAGACTGACTCGGTGTGATCATCGGCAGATTTAGAACCGCAGTAGAAGGAAAGACAGTCGTTGCCACAGCGATAGGTTCCAGTGTATGTGAAGTGTGAATTGTCACCTCTGCACCTAATGCTTCCTGAATAGGGACATTATTTGTTGTAGTATGGTCAGGAGAAGAGTTCCCACCCAACTCTTGTCTTGTGGTGACTCCCTCCCAGGTTGGTTGTCATCCGGTTTATTAAGAGCGCGTTCAGGCACGTGGGACTAACAACATGTTCTTGTTTTTGACTATTGGTTTCAACTGTGGGTGCAATATGAAACATTTCTCCTGCGGGTGTTCAAACATTTTGCAGTGCTTACAGTAGTAAGATTTTTGTTCCATAATTATTTTTTGCTAATAACCATTGTGAGCCGAATCGAACCAGACTTCTTCTACATTTGATAGTGTAATATCTCTTGGCCTTGAGAAATGAACTGTGGGTAATTTTATCTTTAAAGGTTTTCCAAGAATAGTCTTAATTGCATATAAGATAAGTAGGTCAAAAAATTGAAGTTTGAGTTCAAGTAATAAGAACCAGATAGGTGCAATTAGGGGTACTTGATCGGGATCAAAATCAGGGTCCATTTGAGCAATTTCATATGTTTGCCCTCAATTGTGATGAATTTTTTGAGAAAATCCTTGTGCAGTCTACTTTTATACTCAGCTGTATCATAACTTATCTTCCATCAAAATGACCCACCTGTTAAGCCCCTACTAGTTTGAAATCTTCAAAAACCTTCCTGATAGTCTCCATCTTAGGGTAAACTAATTGGAACTTTCCTACTAGAGTAAATTTAAATTTTTCTGCACGAGTTTAAATTTCAGCGTCATAGAGGAATATTGCTGGTTTGCCCGTCTTTTCTCTACTTTCTTGAAGAGATTGCAATCTTCATATTCTGCAACAGAATTATGGTACATCTGCGGGAATATCGGACTATCTGCGAGGTGGAAATGGGAATTGCATTTGTGAACCACTGTAACATAGGAGGGTTTGGCGGGGTTTTCACAGGTGACGGCGGAGTAGGAAAGCCCAGAGGCCATTACCGCGGCCAGTGCCAACAAAGAACACAAAGCCCGCTGTCGAGCAGAACTAGGGCCTGTATACGACGCACCGGGTAGTTATGCCACCAGATGAAGCAGACAACGCGAGAAAAGCGAGGCACAACAGGTGTCGGCGCAGCTGTCGAAAGCACCAGGTAGCTCTGCCGCCAGACAAAGCAAACGACGCGAGAACGCAAGGCACGTCGACGACGCATGTACTAACGACGAAGACGACACCGGTATTTTCCAAACCGAGCGAAGGCAACTCGAGACGCTAGGGTTCGCCATTATCACGGCATTTGAAGCATTTCTTAGCTAAGACTATAGTGGTTGTGTTATTCTTCTGTCTTTTTCTCTCTCAGAGATTTTATCCTTCTCCTGAACAGTATTCTCAAATCTCTAAGGCGTGCTCCTGTTGATGCCTCCAACTGCGGATAGTTGTCTGAATGGCGGTGGGTGTCTCTCTCCACCTTCAGTGCCGAGGTCTAAATGTCACCTACATATAAGGTTGTCGTTAAACCACATCATCGATGATGGGCTTCAAGCCTCTCAACTAAATGGTTATCGTGTGTTTCTTTGGCTCCATCAAATCAAATTCAACTTAAACAGCATAAACTTTGTTTTGTACTCCACTAATAGGTCCCTCCTCTATAGTTATTGGAGCCTAAAAAAAAGATCCTGACAGTAATGTGGAGGTAGTTATTGTCGCGGCAACTAACATTTCGCCTTTTCTCAGGTAGTAATCTTGCTCTATACATCTCTATTTCTCTCCTTCAAGTTCTCCTAGCACAACGAGACACTCTTCTTTAACTTGATAGCATATAGCTTCACTTTTCGGTCATCTGACAAATCCTTGTATTCAAAATCCTCTCGATAGTTTGCAATCACTCTATTAAGTCATTTGAATTCATTTTCCTCACGAACTCTATTATGTCCAATTTCTCTTTCGTGTCTTTGTTTCCTCTAAAAGGCACTTTATCCATGTGTCTTCCAAAAGACATTTCATCTTTGTATCCTCTAACAGATACTTTATTTTTAAATCCTCTAACAGACACTTCATCTATCAGCCTCCTCAGAAACTTGTATCCCAAAGCATTGTGGCTTGTCTTCTTCTCCACTGGAATCATACCTACCAAAGGAATTCAAGTGGTCCTCCCTCTCGCCTCATCGGATCTCATTACTATGTTCGATGATGACCTCACCTTAGGTCCTTTCTTCCAGATAAGCAAGTCGTTGTATCACTCGGTGGAATTATTGATGCATCTCGTCCATAGTAAACTATTGATCAGGTTCTAGCAATTATATCATCAGCAGCATGATTACGATTTGGGTGTGGATAGGTGAAATGAGGAGTGTAGGGATGCTGTAGGGTGGAAAAGAAAAATTATTGGTGGAGTTAGTGTTGGGTAAAGGTGGATGCTAGAAATCCTAAGATATGATTAGAATTAGACTAGCTCTTATACCAAATGATACTGGAGTTAACCCAAATAACAATAGTAAAAGGAAATATTATTATTGAAAATAAATAAGCAGTTACAACCAAACACTTTTGAAAGGGTAATACAAAGCGTATCCCAAAATTGATGACCAGTGACGGAGGTTGAGAGTTGGTCGTCGGGTGTGATGGGAAATGCAAGAGGGTGGTGGGATTGTTGGTAGGATGGTTACAAAGAAGAGGAAGTGACAGCTTAGTTGTAGTGAGAAAGAGGAAGGGGAAGGGGAAGGGGAGTGTTGTTCGATGGTAGAGAGAAGGCGAGTGATTGTGGACTTCAATGTGAAGATTGCAAGTGGCAAGGACAATGATTAGGTGGCAGGGGAGGGGTCTGGTTGCTAGAAGGGCGACTGTGAGGGATGGCAGCAAAGTGAGAGGAGACTGTGTGGTAGGCAGCTACAAGAAAACATCGAGGGGGTTGTTTTTTGAGTGGCTGCAGCAAATATGATCATTGCGGCAATGATGGAAAGTTGTGGAGGATTAGGAAGGTCGGTGATAATTACCACCTCAGACAACATACAGTCGAAGCACAACTCATCGTCGGTTACGACCCTAGAAGAAAAAACTTAGACGACAACAGCTGTCCTGACAAAATACACGAAGAGCAAATTCTTCTAGAACACAAAAATAGCATACTTGCAAACATGGGGTAAAGAAGAGTGGACCGCAGTTTGAATAGAAGGGAAGCCCATGTCTGGAAGGACCGGTCGGTCCCTTGTTTTGCGTGGACTGAATCGATCCAGAGCAAGGATCGCAGCATTTGCTGCATATAGGGTGTGGATGCCCGGCATAGTCATGTATTTTCGAGCTTTCGAAAATAAAGTATGACAAAATATGGCCAAAAAAGCATTGGTCTTATCCTGAAATAAAAACAACTCAAACACATCCTATTAAATGTTTTGATTGTTTTCCGGTACAAAATGATGGTTGTTGTTTTCAAAGAAAAATGCTACGAACTTAGCAATGTCAAAATGTTTTCAATTCTGATGAGCACAGTTAGAAGTGTGCATCACAAACTTTAAAAGCTTTTAATTGCCTGCTCCATAATTTACAATAAACTTGAATTTGTGGATTTATGTTAAACCCCAATGTAACGTTATATTGGCTTTCTTTTCTAATGGTTTTTGGTGAAGTTTAGGAAAGTCATCCACAACCTAAAATATGATCTTGAGAGAATAAATTTTCAGATCACAAAATTAAGAAGAAACCAGTAATGCACCTGTGTCTCCCGCTTGTAATTGCATTGATTGAATGCAAGGCGTGACCCCTTCTAGGACATACATCCTGCTGTTGTTATTAGGCCAGAAACGAAATTGAAATACCCATTCCTTGCCACTTGCATCTTGCATTTTTAGAGGAAGACCTTCTGGCTGAGAAATCGGAGGAAAGTATGCCTGTTTATAACATTGTTCATGTTAATTTAAATGAGCCTTCTGCAAAAAAACTGATGCACAATGCATGTGTTGTAAATACTTTATGAATCTCTTACACAAGCATGAAATTAATTATTAATTGCAATAAAATAAGAATAAGTAAACCCATTTTATATTTTATGGAACATACATGGCATTATTCTAGTTGAGATATACAAATTATAAAATAAGTTAAATTTTAATGTATAGAGGGTCTTAGGAGATAAGTTAATTGACATATTCCGTAGGAAAAGGTATCCCAATATGGTTCACTTGCCCTCTTGTTATCCTCAAGGCATAACATATACTCCAACTTTTGACTGGGTCGTGTACACCAAAAAAAAGGCACTTAAAACCAGCAATGTAGCGAACCCAAGGAAAGAAAATGGGAACCAAGTCTTATCTCACTTTTTTTTCCCTTAAACTACAGCAAAATCCTCTTACCTTCCTCAACACACAATCTTCGCAAAGGAATGGCATGCCTATTGTTGCTGTGCTCATCAGCTAAAACATCACCCCCCCCGCAAGTGTTGGCAGACTA